TACAACCTGTTCAAGTATAGGGTTAATCATTATTTTCTCCACATAAGCTGTATCTCTTACTCTGTAACCCTCTACCTCAAGTTGCCCTCAGGCCTTGTACAGGGGGAACATCATTGTAAAAAAAAAAAAAAAAAAAAAAAGAATTTCAGACTAAAGGATGAAATGTATCACATGAAAATTTTTCACACTTTGTGATAGTTTTCACTAAAATTCTTCTTGATATATAAACGTTTATGGATCATTTTCACATAAATAAATAAAACAATCATAAAAAAATTAATGGCTCCTTTCTAAATCTCTTCCTTAAATCATGGTCATAATTTTGAATGAATTTTTTTTTTCTGCACAAAACATGTTATAGAACCTATACTATCAGCTTTTTCCTTTTTATATGCAAATGTTTTTCTCTAACAAATGGATTTATTTTAAATTCATTAAGGATTCAAACAAAAGAAAGTTATTGTACTAATATAATTTCTTTTACTTTGAAACTTAACAAACATGTTCAGTGTTAAATGGCCGTTTAAATTGGCACTTTGAAGCATTTATTGGGCACGAGTTCTTCAAATAATAAAAGTATAATAGCTTAAACATATCAAATGTTAAGTAAACAGAAATGTTCCTTATTTCCATCCTAATTATTTACATATCTTACAATATTACAGGTGGGGATTTATAGCACATGCATGTCAAAACTTTCATTCCACATAATGATTACTTGTATGGTGAAACAAAAGATTTTAGTGTAGGAAGGAATTAAATACCATTGTATTTTAGCATAGTCTCCATTTGAAACTAAAGTCTTAGTTTTTCTTATTGTTGGCCACTGACTCATCCAACAATTTCCCACTTAGCTTTATTCATTGTCTGAACACTAAATTTTTTAAGAGGAAATTAGAGATTAAAATTAAATTTCAGCATTCTGCACTAAATTTTGCATTTTTCAACCTAAAATCTCTTCATCAGCACTCATTGAAAAACAAAAATGGATAAGCTTTAAATGTGTATCCTAAGTTATCTCAAGTCACCATGTGTTATTTACACTATTTACAGTGCTCAAACTGTTGTCATCATCTTTATTGCTATATTCATGACATTTCGAACATTGTGCCTTCTTCAGTTGGAATTTCAAAATGAACCCTTTTAGTCCACAGGGGTAGATTGTTGTAATTCCATGTGTCATTCCTTTGGATATCTCAGTTTTCTGGGTTGTTTTTTTTTTTGTTTTTGTTTTTTTTAATTTCTTTTTGGATATCTCGGTAGAATTAGAACAATCTACCCTCATGGACTAAAAGGTTTTGGTTTTGAAATTCCAACAAATATCACCTGAGGATGGCTGATGTGTACAACAGACAAAATGTCATAAATATGGCAATAAAGATAAGGACAGCAGTACAAACAATGTAAATAGTAACAATACCTCATCTCAAAAATATATACAGATCATGTGTAATTTTTACAAAAGTCAGTTTAGAAGTCAAAATGAAGTCTTGCTGCTTTATATAGGTGGAAGCTGCTAAATCCCCACTTCCCAGCTGGATAGATCAAAATCATTTACACACACTTATTCTCCACCCTGAAGCCTCTGTCCCACAGAGACAACATTGCAAGTGTATCACTATTCTGTCATTATTTCCATGGCAAATGTTCAGAAGAGCTCCATTCTTCAGTTCCATCAGTGCAGATTTTTACAGCTTTTACCTTGTGACTTCCACAGAGTCGAATCGCCCTCATTTCCTCTGTGTTCCAAATGTAAGAAGGAAGTGCCACTCAGAGCTTCACACCTCAATACCATTTTGTGGAACAGACACCTACACGGGTGCTTTCCTGAATGCTACAATCTTAATGTCTTTTTTCAGTGTTTATCTTTTTTATCTTCACTTCATTTTTCCATTCATATCATGGACCTCATTTAAATAATAACTTTCAACATTGAATAGCTCCCAAGCATTGCACTGAAGGAATTTTAGTGAAAAAATTTTAAACCCTGAAAATTAAATATACTTATTCATATATCAGTGCATTTATTATGGCCAACATAGCTGTTCTTACACAATAAAGATAAATAATATACACACTGAGGTTTAATTTATTTCTTTAAAATAACTTATGTCATTCATTTCCAATTCAGTATTTTGTGATCTTTATTTATAGGCAAGTTTTGCTGATGGGTTTTATAATAGCTTAATTTCCTGCTCTGAAAATTCATTATCACCTTAAAATTTACATGGCAGATTGGGAATAAAGGGACATAAACAATGATGTTTTTTTTTTTAATAGTTTATTTTGAAAATCTAACACATTATACACATTATAACAAATAAGCAAAATATTTAAGCTGTTCAAGTTATAAGAATTTTGTTAATGCTATTTGCAAAAGCAAATTTCTCAAAGAGACTACTGCATAAACTTGAGAGTTGTAGAAACCCGTTTGGCCAAATGTTTAGAATACACCTGGCTAAAAAGTATTTTCCCAGGATAAAGGGAAAACAGGTTCAATCTCTGACAAGAGGTACATTTTTTAATAAGACTTTTTGTTGTCTAGGCTAGTAGATATTAACTTCAATGTTTAAAAAAATTGCCTACTTAAATACATGTATTCAGAATATTAATAATGTTATGATGTTAAATTAAAATTTAAAATCTAATAATTATTATTATATATATATATATATATATATATATATATATATATATACACACACACACACACACACACACACACACACACACACACAGGCACATGCCATCAGTAATTACTCAGTGTAGGCAACTTATGACTTGTGTAATAAATCTGCAAAAAAATATTTTGCATTTTATATATATAATAATTACAGTGACCTTCCAAATTTTGTTTGATTAAGTGCATATTGTGCCACAGAAAGGAAATGTAGCTGACAATCTATTTTATTCAGGTTAGACACTGCCTACCTAGACAGCACATCCCTGATTATAGATACATTTGGTAATTGTTCAATCCACTCTTCAGAAGATTTCAACAATTAACTGCCATTTTTCTAATTTTGTGTTTTCTTTATACTATAATGAAAAAAAATATAAATTAACTATTTTATTGTTAATTTGGATATTATATTTTTAAAACTTTGTTCTGCAGTAATTCTGACATAAAAAAAAACAATTGCTAATATTTTTGAAAAATAAAAAATATTTTTTTCACTGATACATGCACAAACATGCATACACAAAATGTGTGTGTGTGTGTGTGCGCACACACACATTTTATTTTTCTAATGAAACCAAAGATATTTCTATTGAAGTTTCAAAGTATTTTTCATGTTTATCACTGATACTCTTATAAAAATCTTTTTGATTTCATTTTGAACATTTATTTCATAGAATAATTTACTAAATTTCAATTTTAGATTTTGAAAATATACTTGAATAAAAGTGTGTGCATATATATTATCGCCATTTACACGATTCACATTGCTGGATTAGACAGTGGTTCTGACTGCAAAAGTTCAAATCCTACCAAAAGCACATTTTCTTTATTAGATATTCTCAAATTGGCAGACCAGTAGATGAAAAAAATACTGTCTAAAATAAATGCAGCATTCTACTCAAATACTTGTATACCACTAAAAATTATGTTTGAAGTAATAAAAATAAGTTGGATTAAAAAATAAAACCAATTCTTTAGAAATTGCTTTGTTTATATTTCGAATATGCATTTCAGGAAAATCTGAACAAGTCAATGTGCTTCAAAGGCAAAATAGAACCTTGCTTTATCATTAAGCTCTTCATAGCAAAGTGGTAAAAGCATTCAGGATTAGACTGTGGTTCCTCCTGAAAAGGGGAAGGCAGATTCGAATCCTGCCAAGAGGCACATTTTCTTTAAGTTTTCTTAGGCTGGTAGACAAAATAAATACATTTTAAAATAAACGGAGCATCTACTCAAATAGAGGTATCCAGTAAAAATAATGTTTGAAATAATAAAAATATCTCACATTAAAAAATAAAATCCATTAATACTTTATATGCGTGTCGCAAGGTGTAACTAAAGCATTATCTAATGGAATCAATTATGTACGTATTTAATGAATGAAGCATAATTGGTTTCTTTCAGTAGCATTGGTGGGTGGATAAACGTGATGATGCTAAATAACATTGGATAAGATAAAAGAAATGGTCTGTCAGCACCTGGGGTATCAAGAACACAAGGACAGTGTATAGAAAGGAAACCCTAGATTATTTTACCTGACACAAAATGACTCGATTACATTGTCTTCCTCTGGAGCACTGTCAACATAAACTTTCAAATTAACATACTTGAACAAAAGAAGACAGACAAAGATACAACATCAAAATGAATTATTTTAAATCATACTTTCATCAAGTCATACTTTTCATGCTTCCATGTATAAACAGTGATGATAAAAGGTCATTTAAATGTTTAGGCACCTTAAAGGCAGCTTATGAAAGATAAATATGTTTATAGGCAGCTTTAGGCTCTCGATTGTGTTTTTTCACTCATTGGAGAAGTTTAGCAGAAATCAATAATAGACATAAAAAAAAAAAAATGCCATTTAAAGTGGAGAATAACAAAGTGAAATCTTGATTAATCACATCAATTTTTAATAAAGGGAAGAAAAAAAAAGAAAGAAAATTCATACAGCCCAGAATAAGATGAAATGACATTCTATTCAGAGAAAATCACATAATGCTTTTCATTTAGATAAAGAAATTCTATGAATATCCTGGGCAATTGTTTAACAAGGTTTACCTATGATTTCATTCTTTTTTGCTCAACATCAGTGTTTTTGAATCTGGGGAACTGTAGTTTTTATAAATAGCAATCAGTAACAAGTGAAAATTAAGCACATGAGTAATGAAATCTGGATTTATGTCTCTTAGATCTAATTTGAAAATCATTTTCCTGGGTTTAGGTTAAATTAATACTGGAGAACATCTATTGTCTGATGAATAATGTAAATATTAATAGATTTAATAAAATAAGGGTGATAAAAATGTCAACTTACCTTGGATCATGCATATTGTAAAGTAAAGACGGTACAATTTTGTCCATGTGCACACTTTCCCAGATGTTGACCTGCAGTTCATCACTAACTGTTTTGCGTACCACACCCTGGATACCTCGCAGACCAGCTGTTCGGATCCTGCAACAATATTCTTTATCAGTAATCCTGTTACCATATCATTTTTAAGACAAGAATAACTGCATTTAAATATCTATTCACTTTACTGAAAGCCACAAGACAAAGGGAAATAATTTTTTTTCAATTTTCCTTTCTGAAAGTGAAATTTGTTTTTTGTCACAGAAATTTGCATATTTTCAGAAATAAAAAAAAAAAAATGGGAAAAACATTTCAACAAAGTTACTTTTATAATTATGCTAAAAATTGTAGAAAATGTCTAGCATGAAATTCTCCCACTTTCATATCAAGCCAAAATTTAATATTTACTTCTTTGAAACACTTAAAATAGCAAGTATCTGGAAGATTTCTCCTGTTGTAAAATATATGACTCTAAAAAGTCTGCAAATTATGGCACAGAAAGTTTCTACATAAGCCAAGTTAAAATTATATATAAATGATTAAACTATCTAATATACAAGTAAAGAATGAAATTCAAAGTAGCCTGTTTGATAAAATAGGATTTAAGACCAAAAAGCCTTAAGGTAAAATATAAACATGTGTAAAAAGATTTAGATTAACAAAGAAAGAAAACTATTGCATCTACATAACAAAGCCTCAACAATAAAACTCAGAATTATAAAAAGTATTCAAAGTTGAAAGTGATTGTTTAAGATGAGTGTAGAATAACAGAATATATGTTAGATCTGAACTAAGGCAAAATGCTAGCACTAGAAAATTAATTTATTGATGTAAATGATTTTCAGACTGGACTGTTGCAGCCCTGAAAGATGAAGCAAATCAGACCAAGTAATTGCACATCCCAGTTCAATAACCCTGAACAGTAATCAAAGACTGGTTAAATTAACCTCCTCAGCAACAAAATGAGATTTTCTGATAGCAATGTAGTAAAGCTGATTATTCAAAAAGCTCAAATGATTGAAAAAGAACCAGGAATTTATATAGGAATGTTTTTTAACATTAAAACCAAAAAATGTCCAAAGTGTCAGTTAAAGAGAATTCTTTAAACTGACTTGCTCATATTTACTGCGAATCTATAAACTTTCACAATGTTTCATGAGTTAATTTCAAAACTACATTTAACCAGTTTGTTTATCAAATACTGAAAAGAAGAAAAAGACCTTAATGGTTTGGTGTAGCAGATACATGTTGAAATTAACAAACAAAATAAACAGAAATGGCCAAACACATCAAGCAACAATATTGATGCAATTGAAGAGTATTCAGCAATTGGTTAACATCAAATTGATAATCCTGTCCAGGTCAACATCTTCTCATATGACAGATTTAATATTCTAAGTATGATACGTTCTTTTCAGATTAAGGAATTTGGAATCTTTTTATTTCTAGATGTCAACTGTGTAAGAAGAAGGATTTTCTCTATTCCTTGAAGTTACTCAACATAACCACAGTTGGCTTGTCGTTTGTGCCTCACAATCTGATTTTTCTGTGAGATGATATAAAATCTACTTTTATACTTTTAACATTTTTTATTATTGGTAATTCTGTTTTGTAGTTTAACATTTTTAAATTTATCAACAATTCTCTTTGATAAAGGTCGATCAAAAAGCTGCCTACATTAGAAAAATCATACCACCTGTTCCTTTTTAGCATTTAATTTCACATCTAAGCTATATTTAAGCTTTGTACCAAATGCGTAAAAAAAAATTTAAAAAAGAAAGTTTCCCTAGTTAGGAATAATACCAAAAAAGAAAAAAATAGAAAAAAAAATTTCCAACACAATTTTTCTGTTTTTGTACAAATTATTTAATCCCATTAATTACTTCATCACCTTCCAGACAGACCAAAACATTTAAAGTGGAAAGAAATTAAAAATATTTAAATCAATACAATCATTTTTCTTAAAACATGGTGTGGTGTATAAAAGGAGGTTATCTGCTCTTGAGGGGAAAAAGGAGGAGAAACATAAAAATGGCAACAACACATGAGATTTCAGTAGCACCTCTTGCACAATTGAATCTGGATCCCAAATCCACTAAACAGGAGTGAGTACAAACAATGGGAATGTATTATAAGAATATAAGAGAAACGAAGCAAAAAAGGATATTCCTTCTTTATTAGGGTGGGTTTGAATTAAGGAAAATTTACAAAATGTTGGATGATGAAGTTGAGACATATGAGGAAACCTGGCTCTTTTGAATAAACATTTTGAAACCAAAAGAAACTTAATATATGAAAAACATTAATTTCGATCCAGAATGCAGGAACATGAAGTGCAGTGACTTACATTACTGCCTTGAAAAATCTGACATATACATGCAAGTTTAATGAATACTCTGCAAATGAGGCAGTAGTAGACTAATTTATTGAAAAATATTAATCCCAACATCTTAGACAATTATAAAGAGAAAGAAATTAACACTATCACACATTGTTCAACTAACATAAGCAGAACAACACACCAAAAAAAATTGAACAACAAAATGTTGAAATCTAAAAACAACAAGAAAAGAAATCTGGCTCAAAAGAAAATATAAATACTTTGAGCAAAAATAAAATGACCAAGAAAACTATGAGGAGCCTCCTCCCCAAATTTTGAAACACATCAAAAGGGTTACAGTTGTGGTAGTGATTTGCACTACAAAAATGATGTAGAGTGTCCAGTCAGAGGAAAACAATGCACATTTTATCATAAGTTCAACTACTTTAAAAAAATGTTTTTTTACAAAGAAAATGACACAAAAAATTAAAGCTTGGTCTAGAGCTTGGTATAATCCAAAAGGATTAAAGTATGAAGAAGTGCAAATGGAATCTGATTCGGATGATGTATTGATGACAAGGGACACAAATCTGATGCAGTTATTTGCTGAGACAGCCTATTTTGGTTCTGATTGGGGCTAATGTCAATCTAAGTGATTGGAATACATAGGAATATTTTAAAAAATATATAAATATTAAATTAAAAAATTGTGAAAAGAAAATATTTATATATGAGGCAAAATTTCCCTTTTTTTTTTCCCTGTTTTTTGCTTCATTATTTAAAGGATTGGACAGACAAGAAAATGTGAAAATCAAATTAAATCAAACAATAAAAACCATATCTCAACATTTGCATTGCATTCCTTTCCATATTCAAAAAAAGGTTGAAAATAAATTGAAAGAACTGTTTTACTTCAATATCATTGAACAAGTTATGGAACCCACCTCATGGGTTTCATCATTAATAACAGTACCTAAGGGTAATGATGTCAGATTAGTAGTGGATAAACGAAAAGCTAACACTGCCATAAAAAGAAATCGCTACCTTGTACCCACACTTGAAGAGTTACTTGAAAAGTACAGTGGTTGTACGATTATTTAGCAAAATTAACTTAAAACATGGATATCATCAGATTGAAATGGAAGAAAAATTTTGTTATATTACTACCTTTATTATATTGGTTTGGTACAAGGAGCTACCTCAACATTTGAAGAATATCAAAATTGTATAAGTGAGTTGTTTAAACATATCCAAAAAGTGAATAATAATTCAGATGATATTTTAATTTGTGGTGTAAATCAAGAGGATCATGATCAAAATCTGAAGGCCTGTTTGAGAATTTTGCAAGAAAAGACCTCACAGCAAACTTTGATGTTTAATGTTCCAAAAGTCATGTTTTTATGCATAGTATTTCTAATAAGGCTATTTAACTGGCTGAGAATAAAATTTAAGCAATCAAAGAATTCAATGAACCTAATTCAATTAAAAAACTTTATAATTTTCTTGGGCTAATAAATTATTTAGGTAAATTCATAAGGAAATTATCATCTAAAACAAAAGTACTTAGAAAATTGCTACAGAAGGGAGCTAAATGGATATGGACTGAAAAGGAAAACTAAAAAATGCTGTTGAATCTTGATCCCTCAAAAGGCAAATAAATATCAATAGATTAATTCTAGGCAGAATTTGAAATCAAGGAATCAGCAAAGCACCATTAAAAGAAATAAAGAAAGTCTTCCACTGCTAAAAAAAAAAAACATCTCTAAAAGTCTTTACAGTTCATTTGGAACATCAAATCATCAAGAAATTGAGAGGAAACTTTTGAAGTTCTGCTTAGCAAAGGTAATCTTGCAATTATTTTACATTTTCTGAATTGGTATCTAATCGAGCAGCCATATGCATAGATGAGTATGCTTTAATGACAAATGAATACATTTCAACTAACTTCCAAATATTAGAAAAATATAAAAATACTTAAATCAAAAGTAAATGATGCATATAATCAGTCATTCTGGTTTATTTTATCCCCTTTAACAAAAGTCAACCAGAATTGAACATCAAAATATGATGATATAATCTAATTAGGTCAGAGTTTCTTAACCAGCAGGGTATTTCTGGATTTCAAGGATAAGAGTAAGGATAAAAACTTACTTTTTCACAATTTTCTCATTGACTGTCATCTTCATTAGAATAAAATCTATTTAAACACCCTGACCTTTTATTGATTTTTTGGTTTACTCAATTGCAATATCCTGGCATTCTATTGACTTTTTTGTTTACTGAAGTATGCTTCAGTTTATTTATTTAATAATTAGTTATGAATTAAATTTAAATTACTATACATGTGTTCAAGTTTAAAAATCAACCAACATTTTCTATTGCTATTAAATTTGTAAAACTCCTCTATAAAATAATCCCTCTAAATGTATACATGTACTAATATGGAAAAGAATGAAGATTTTCAGTAATATATTCATATTATTTGGAATGCACCTTTTGAGTTGGACAATCTTGCAAAGTTGGGAGGATGACATTCTGACTCATGGTGAAAAGGATGCATTGAGCAAAAAAAGGCTTCAGAAGCCCTGCTATTAAGTAAATGAAGAGGGTTTTTGATGTACCCTTGGATTTATATTTGACATATGTTAATTTTAAGGTAATTAAGTTAGTAGAAATGTAAGAATAATAATAAGCATAAAGCCAATTTCAATAAAGAAGCTATTTTGAAATGTGATCACAGCTCATAAATTAGAAGAAAAACAATGTTTCTGTACTCACAAAG